AGCCTCCACCACAACGGGGACCTGATTTTCTGCAAAACATTTCCACCCTGCATTCTCAGACAGGGTCAGGGAATGGTAAAAGGAGGAAGGTGACGGAGTCCTCCTCTAAGAAGGATCATCGTTTATTGAGTATTTCAGATCTTACTCAAAATTCCTTGCTTTGAGCTACTACAAGCTTGAAAAGGACTCAGCTGATCCTGCTTTGAGCAGAAGGTTGAACGAAATGGCCTCCTAAAGCCTCTGCTAACTTGAATTATTCTATAGTCTTCAGATCCAGGTAACTTTCAGGACAGTTTCAGACATATTTTTTTAAAAAAGGATGCCAGGATAATTTCTATTACAGTGTCACTGAAGTGAGTAAACTCCATTGGATATTCATGGTAAAAAAACTTACGATATACGTTAGCTTCCAAACTCCAGGAATCTTCCCTGGCTTTATGGATCAGATTTGCCATGATTTTTCACTATAGTCATGTGAAGACACAACCTAGAATTTGAAATGGAAGTACCTGGGTCTCTATGGCTATGTCCAAAACTAAACATCATCTTATGCAATACAGATTAAACTACCTTATTCATGTGTCGTTCTTTCTTTTATTACAAGAAAAAAGCCAAATTATGTACCACATAAATCAAGAGACGATTATTCCTCAGACAACTACTTAATAGCTGCAAACTTTTGCTGTAAGATTATTTTCATATGGAAATTAATTGCCATTGTGATCCAAATGCCACCAAAGCAAATGCGAATTGTGACAAAGAGACTGAAGGGAAAATATTCCATTCACAAGCCTGCTTGTCCCAAACCAAAAATGCTAACTTTCAGCCTGATGCACTCGACAAGCGAACAAAAATAATAGTCCCTTCCAATACAAATTCAAACAGCCAGTTTCACGTATAATTTTACCAGTAACACCAAATCTGAATCCTTTTGAAGAGGTCAGTGACATCAATTCACTTTAACCTTAACTACAGTGACTTGATCCCACAATTTGCTAGCATAAAAGCTATTTTTAAAATTGCTACACCACAAGTATAAAGTATTAGCCATAACTGTCCCTTGCCCCAAAGCAGTTAAGAGTTACATATGTGCAAGATCCTACTAAAAATCAGAGAGGCAAAACCAGCCTGGTGTCATTTCTTAAAAAAAAAAAAAAAAATGTGCTCTTTCACTCATTTCCTCGTTTTCTCTGCTACTTGGCAAACAAAATGCCATGAGAAGAAAGTGCTGCGGGGCTCGGGTTCCCCGCAAGGACTCTTACGGCAGAGCTGATGCCCGCTGGGAAAAGGCTGATGTCAGCTCTTAAGAGCTCCCTGCAAGGATAAGGAGGCCTTTGTTTTCAGCTGAACTGTGAAAATGAGAAAATGCCTCCAGCCTGACAAACAAGAAACCCACATAACACAGGTCAGGCCTGAGACCTTCACTTAAAGGTACAACACACTTCATTCACGGTCCCCTTCCATCTCAATGCCTGGACAGAGTTAATTTTACACAGGACTTGCCAGGAAATGCTAAATACACCTTGGAAATATAACAAAGCAGCTTCATTTGTTAAGAAAGACTGGTAGAGCTCTCCAGCCACTCTACCCATACATAAAGAGCTTGTAGTTCTTATATAAATCAAGTTCCTAATTACTCTTCTGTAAATCAAGGTGATTTTTGTGAAGTCATACAAACACAATGGCATGTTTCAACTTGAGGCTTAAAATAAGCTTGCTTCTCCTTCACAAAGCACCAGAAAATAAAGCACATTTTACTTCAGCCAGATCATACTTTAGCAAATGCATTTTAAGTAAAACATGAGGGATATACAAGAAAGTCTGAAATGCAAATAAAGGAATTTCATATTACAGTGCCTAGGTTTTAATTTGGGGTGGAAGTATTAGTTTTGCCCAACTGAGGACCTTATGGGTGTAATCTCTGTGACCACAAAAATACAGAGGCTGCATACAGTCCAGTACACTGCCATCAGGTAGGCAGTTTCACATACTGATTTTTAAAAATTAATCCACAAGGTCTCAAGCATATTTTATTACCCTAAAGCTGAGAATTATCTTCTCTGAAAAACAGAGCCTTTGATAAATTTTCTTTGCACAGGAATTCCATTACGTCTTTTAGAAACACAGTAGGATTGCCAGGGCATTTGATTCACTCTACTCCAGAGACTGTTCGCCAATACTTGTGTTTTTCCAACACAAAAGTAAACATACCCAAGCACAACTCAAAGAACCTAATCGAAGAAGATACAACAGGGAGTTACATCTGAGCAGGGAGTACCTCAAAGCATTCCATTTCCAAACAAAAGGCAGGCATCACTGGATTTCTAATAAAATATCCAAAGCAGTTAAGTGGATTCATTCCTGTTGAAGCCCAGCGACTGAGATGCCGGGGTGCTGGTACCTAAGGGTTAACATCCAACTGCTAACAAAAGGTTCTACCATTTATAATGAGCCACAGCACACAATTCTTGTCCTATTTAATTACGTTCCCAACCACAATACACTGGTGTTAAAGAGGATGAATATACAACTGCTTCACAGTTCTACCAACGCAATCACAAAGACCCAAATGTCTGAACAAGAGCTGTGCATGGTTATAAGGACTTCTGTTCTTCCAAGCACTGACTTCCAAATGAAAAAGATCTGCCCATCTGGACGTTTAGAGCAAGTGAAGACATTCAGCCAGGGGTATGGATTTAAACACTGCTGTGCAGCAAAGACGGGTGGTCTGTAGCCCTAATGTTGACTGGGGCAGCCATACCCAGTTCCTGGTATCACCAACTCTTTCATCCTATGCTTTCAGGGGACTTCGTCCTGGAAAGTTCAAAAGACAGACTCTAAATTTCATCTTTATAGTCCAAATCAGAAAAATGCCTTTGCTATCACCAAAGGTACCCTGCCATCTAGTCACACTCCACATCTCTTATGGATTTTGTTTTCTAAACTGAATGTTGTCAAACTTACACTTCCAGAACCCCCATGTCACTACAATATGACTGCCATTATTGTGTTCCAGAAAATATTTCTTTCCCCCAATCTACTGTCTTTTCTTTAGTGAGAACGACTCAACCTTCTACAACACACTTCTCATCTCCAAAACAAATTTTTTAGAACAGTTCCACAAAGTTTGAGTAATCCATTTCTATTGTTACACCAGAACATCATAATCAAAAAAAAAAAAAAAAAAAAAACAACAAAAAAACAACAAAAAAAAAGGGGGGGCGGAATATGAAAAACATTCAAATAAATAACTTCACTGGTGGTGATGGCAGGGAAATGGGAGTAAAATACAGAGAATGTCTGTGAACTTTTCTAATGTATCTGAAATACACAGATATCTGCCTATTTCAGATATATCACTAAAGTTTGAGGTTTTATAATATTCAGTTGGAAACATATTTTCATATGGCCAGATCAAATTTACACAATAAATAAGAAAAAAGATGGCCTTGTGTATGCTATTTTAGATTGTCATTCATTGGCAGTAGATGGTTTAATTGGAATGGATTACATACCATCACATGAACACTAGGCAGAAAACCACTGCTTTTTATTATAAGAAGGAAAGATGCACATTTGATGTACAAAATCACAGAAAGAATCTATTGATAGTAAAAACATACCATACTGGATGAGTAAAAATGTACCATACTGGAAGAGATCACATAGCTTTAAAATATATCTAAGGGATCTTGTGAAATAACTGCCTCTATCTTTTAGTTTTGAATCTTGGTTGCACACGAGTCTGTTGGATCAGACTTCATTATTTTTACAGCCTGCGCTGTATAAAGTGTTATAATGTACGTAACTGCCAGCTGTGTTTTATTTCATCACTAGCAAATGAGTTTTTTTTTTTTTAAAAAAAAAAAATCACACTTTTTGCCACAAAGTTACATAATAATTCAAAAATGCCATAAATTTCTTCAGCTGTGTCATGTATGTGTGCCACAGAAATGCAGCCTACGGTTCTTTCCCATACCAGCATTCTCAGCTCCACGGAAAGGCTATAAATAGTTAAGTTTTTAGGAGAAAGAACAAGGTATGTTGTAAATGAGAAGTCCCTCTCTGCTTGTGAGCTTTTATTGTTTTGCATTACTTCAGTGCTGGATTCCTGATTTGTAACAAATTCCAAGACTGCAGACTGCAGGCCCAGCCTCTGACTAACACTACAGTGATTTATTTGAGGATAAATACCTCTGTCCGAATCTTATGACTGAACACAACAGTCCGCAGCAGCGTGGAATGCGAGGAACGCAGAGGCTGCAGGAGCTGAGGCAGCAGGGAAAGAAAGGCGCAGGGTGATGGGGCGGCCCTGGCCGGCTGAACCGCTCCCAACACCTCCTCCAGCGGGGCAGGGCAGGCAGCCTCCCAGCCCGTACAACTCACGCCAGCCAGGCCTGCCTTCCCCGACGGAAGGCAGCAAGAATGGCATCTGGCGATTGCCCAGCACACGCACCGAACTCCTCAGCGCCTTACCTGTATGAAAAATTCCACATCTGACTGTCAGGGCTGCGGTGCAATCCTTTAAGTAATGTTTAGCAACAACTGCAGCCTGCCCAGTTGTCAAGGCAGACTACAGAGCAGCTGGCTCACAATCTCCTGGCCTCAAAAAAATGTGAAGCACTTCTGTTTCCCCTCCTTCTGCTTCCCCACCCCCACCAGCAGAGACTACGGAGGCTCAGAATCAGGGGAAGCAGAAGGAGCAGATTACAAAGAACAAATGAACAATACTTTAGAAATTGCAAGGTGAATACGTATGTTTTACTATAAATAGTTCAGTTGAGCTAATTCCTGTTACTTCATGCTGTAGGAAAACCAAAGAAAACAAGAAGACCCATCTAATCACACCAGCCTTTGTGCAGATCTTCCATACAAACTGGAACAATGGGAAAACCTAGCACAAAGTTTTTGGCACGGCATGATTTTAGCACACACAAAAATGAAGAGGATAGCAAGCACTAAATTCAATGAACCAGAGGTAATAAAAGCACAACACTTACAGATGCGGATTGAACATTCGACTCATTTTAGAAACGTGGTCATTTTCACAGTCTAGCTCGTCATCCCCCTGGTCCATGCTGAGCTTTCTCTTGCTGGGACTGATAGGAGGAGGGCCTGTTCGATGGTTGGTGAGAGCGGAGGATACTGGCAGAGACTGCATTCTGGGCTCACCTCTTAGAGCTGCTTCACCTACAGGAAGAAGACAAGGGAGAATGAACACAACAGGGAAGAGAGGGGTAAAGCAGCATGCTCTTTGAAAACATCCTTGCAGAAGACTCCCAACAAGATGTCAGGTCCGCATACGCACATTTAACATGGCTGCAAGATAAATAAGGCATCATAAACCATACTTCAGTGCTTCATACTGGAATAAGCAGTTGAAAAAAGGCAATGTGAGAGGGGTCAGCTCACCCTAGATGATCTGAAAGGTTGAGCTAACACAACTTTCCAACAGCACTTTTATTCAGAAGCATTCCTCCTTACAAGCTGCCATTCCAACTCTGCACTTTCATTACCTCATTCCGCAAAGCATGACTATTTGCAATGAAATACGCTTTGTTCCTTTTCTTATGGTTGTGGTTATAAATTCCAGGGCTACAGTTCACATTTATGTCAAATATTCAAGATCTAAAACGTTCAAATTCTCAAACGATTCCTTTTATAAAATGCTGTCCAAAACAAGCTTGCCTCATATATAACTATGCAAGGTAAAAATTAAGGAAAAAATTGGAACATGCTGATGCAAGTTTTAAGTTTGTCCTTAAATGTCCTTGTCTATACTTTTAAACTATGTTTGGAACAACAAACAATTCTTCCAGCACAAGAATCACAAAATTTCAATTTTAAGAATGCTAATTTTCAACTAGGCAGACTGGTGGTAGTGAGTAGGTTATAAATTTTATAGAATACAACACTTATCAGAAAATGCCATTCACAGCATGTGGGAGCTGTGTATAAATAATTCCAGAAATGATACAATTAGCTTGCGCATAAACACATTCACATATTGTTACTAAGCACGCATTAAAGTGTGACCACAGTACTTCTCCCATTTCAATTAAATGTCTCACTAAATGTATAGCCTAAAGCACAGTGCTTGGTTTCACCAGCAGTTACAGACTTTACTGGAACTCACATCCTTAGAGCCACAGGTCATACCCAGACCCCATAGGGACTGAGAGATGGTAAAAAAATGCTTTGGGGGCTTCATAAGGTGCTTGGAGAGAAGCTAAATTAACCAGGGTTACCTATTCTGGTAATATCCCTGAAATAGCCATTTTTGCTGGAGTTTGTATTTTTCCTACACTGCCAAAAGCATTTTGTTTTCTACATGGCCATAATTTCCAGAACTAAAATTAGGATAAAGTTAACTCCATCTACAGCCCTGAGGTACCTGACAATGGAAATCTTTGTATGCCGCCACACATTTTCACATCATCACCGAGGCAGATGATTTATAAAACGCTGCCTTAATTCCACACACGATAAATACTATTTCGTTGGAAAAAGAACGAGTGAGGAGAGAACCTCCTGAATATTTACCAGTAAAAATAAGCATTTTGCCAATTTAGTCAGCATAATATAAACTAGCAAATATACACTGACCTATAATACACCGCAAGTCATGATTTCTATTAAAGACTCTGGCACCAAACCTAAATAGGAACTTTCCATCTCAGCTCTAAATAGTAAAAACTGTGCTCTACTGAAAATGCTCTAAGACAGACATCCAGACCCTTTCCTGTTCGAAACAACCGAAGCGTTAATTGGGAAGCCCCCCACAACCACTCTAATGTCACAAGAGAAGCTTTTAACAAAAAAACCTCTCATATGAAATAAAATTCGTATCAGTAAGATTTCTGCTTTTTTTCTTCAGCCTTTATATTTTGCCAGTAGAAACCTCCACCTACATAGTGTTCATATTCTAAACGTACTTGATTTTAAAAGTAAACCACATCATACCAGTTTCTCTTAGTGAGGAATCTCCCTCATATCTATCTTTGAAAAAAAATAAGTTAATACCGGTGTCAAAACATAAACTTTCATCAACTAAAGTTTATGATACTTTCATCCCACCCATATGCAATCATTCTTCCCTCTGCAGTATCTCAGATCACTTCTGAAGATTCAAACCAAAATTTCATTACAGGAAATACAAATTCTATGTAGGCACCTAACTCCTACTGATTTCTCCTGAGCAACTCCTGACAGGAACACAGGCAATCTAAATATCCACGTAAAGCTAACTCTGGTGTTTATAAAAGACAAAAATCTCTATACGTTGTCCAATTCACTAAGTTAGAAACTCTTCCTTTTTCCCAAACAGCAGGTAGGAGCCTGATACTATACAATTAACTTAATGCTATTTAAAAAAAAAAAAAAAAAATATATATATATATAAAAATTCAGCTTATACGTTGTATGGTAACAACAGCATTTATATATTAACATCTAGATTGAGTAAAAAAAATCTGGTAAAGATGCTATTGCTGTTGTATGTTGGAAGTTAAGAAAACCATTTTAAAGACATTTAATAAAGAAAGGAATGGCTTCTAATTAAAGCCTGTCAAATTTGCTAACGCATTTTCCTAATCATAAAGTAACTATGCAGGGGGTAATTATGCAGGGGGCACCAAGGCCTTCAGATAACCATACCAGAACTGCCCAGTGTATCTGCAGCACCAGAGGGCCATTAGGCCCAAATTAATCAAATGAACAAAACCTGAAGCAGGCGGCAGAGGGGTGAGCCGGCAGGAGCGGCAAGAGCTCTTCCAGGGCAGGCTGGATGGCACCGAGCACCTCCTCACAAGGAGACACACGTGGAGGGTGCTCAGCATCTCGCAGAGCCCACCCTGCAGACACAAGGCAAGCACAGAACACTACCAAACAAAAGAGTCCAGATAACACAGTAAGTTCAAGAGGAAAAATATATCTGCGTTGTTTATGGGGATAAAGTGCATACTCATTTTTATTTAAATAAAAAGGCGATTTCTTTCCCCACTACTTTCCTCCCTACCGAACTTGAATTTAAACCAGAGAGGGAGAAACCACAGCAGAGTCTACCATACAAAATGCTGGTTTACTGACTAGATTTGTCTCCCCCAGCTGACCACACTCCATGGTAACCAGACTCACATCATACAGCTGGCAAGACAAGACTCTGATAAAACAACTGTGTTTTATAAAATTCTCCAAGCCCAAACTCCAGTCTTCAAAATTCATTACTGTGATGGCTTGTGTCTGCACTGTAACTGAAAGCAGAGATAGCAAACACATTTATTGTGCCTCTCATAATACTTCTCTTTGTTTCAGTAAGCAGCTGGTGTAAGGCACTCCAGATCTGCTGCTTTCAGATAGTTCTACTTAAAACTACTCATACTAGTCTCCTTTTTTTTTTTTTTTTTTTTTTTATTAAAACTGTTAGGCAACATGATAAAGCACAGACAAGCTAAACAGAGATAACAACGTGACGTAGTGTCTGCCTATACAGCAGTACTGCAGTAGTGCACTCAGTTGACAGAAGTCCATGCAGTCAGCAAGAATGTTCTTTATTTTAACCACTTAGGACCCTAAACTGAAAGTGATTCAAATTAACACATGCAAACTAAATGTTTGTAAAACCAGCATGGCTCTTTTCAGACGTACACACCACCAGGACAGTTCTCTGTAAACAGTGGATCTTCAACACTGTTTGCCTTTCTCTTGCAGTTCTGCGCCCTTACTGAAACATCCATGCAATACAAACAGCACAACAGCAAAAGTCATGTTTTTACAAGTGTGGATTTGATAGCAGGACACCAGAGAAGTCTTAAAATATGTCTGAGAACTCCAGGAGTTACCAAAGACTGGGAAAAAAACAAAACAAAACAAAACCAACACTATTTTGGCAACTTGCTTCCTTCCTCTCTGACCTAGCAACTCAGTATGGGCTGCACTAAGACATGGCTACCATATCCTATTCCCCCTCCCAATTTCCTCTCTCCTGCTGGCTACTATTAATGCGTAAAATCTGAGCATTAATTACAATCCAGAAATTAAAGGCTTTGTCTTTCCAGATGAAGACTGACATGATACAGACCGTAAAACAGATTGAAATAAAACTCCTTGAAAGAAAATTTCAGCACTGCCCTTGTCCATTTTACTTTTCCGTTTTGCATCTGATGGATGGATTTGTCCACAAGAGTAAATTCACAACACATTTTTTAACTTTGAAAAAAATAAATCTTCAGTTGTTAACAGGGTCCTTACCCCCTGAAGTCTATGGATTGAATTACCATGACCTCAGACCATTCTATTAATTAATAAAGTCACAGGCACAAGAGTTTAACAGACTTTAATTAACATGCATTACACCTTTAATTACCTTTTCCAATACCTCCATGCAGACAAACTCTCATTAGTAAAAGGAGTTGCCTCATGTTCTTAGGGCCAGACATTCCCAGGAATCAACAGTACGTGAAGATCACCAAAGGCAGTTTTCTCTACTGATCCAAGATCAAAATTTAGCCCTCATGACATATGTAACATATCTGCTGAAAAGCCAAGACATTCACAAAATCTACATATGTGAAAAGGATACTATAAAATGAAATTAGTTTTATTTTCTACTCCTATATTCTAACAATCATGTGATTAAATTGCAAATAGATTGGAACGAATTTACAAACTATTGCATGTTTTCTTCTGCCATCTCAAACACAGAAGTCAGTCTGTGCCAACATAAACTGGGATAAATGGCATAAAAATTCCAATTCATGGACAAAAATCACATGATTTGAGATATCAAATACCAAGCAGGGAAGTCACTGCAAATTACTCAATTCAACAAGCCATCAAAATGAGTTATCAAAACAAAAGACTCACAATACAGTACCACAGAATTAATCCACAGATGTTGTCAGCTGCCTAGTTTGGGTATCACTTCACAGCATACTATACATTGCAGGAGGATTGGTATCCTTGAATTTGGGAAATTCCCCAGAAATTAAATCTGTGTGAAATAGTTAGACTACAGACAATCTCAAAAGTATGTAATTTAAGGCAGATTTACTTCACTCACTTGACCAAAGAAAATGAATTAATCCATTCAGACTCCTCAGTAGTAAATATTTGGTTCGTGACAAGAAAAAAAAAAAATCCCAAGAAGCAGTCACAAATTATTTATATAATTGCTGAATATTTCTATAACC